GCGGGGCGGGGAGCGGGGCGGGGCAGGAGCAGCGGCGGGGCTGGCCGTCTGTGCGGGACGGGGAGCGGGGCGGGCACGGGCGGGGCCGGGCCGGGGCCGCCTCACACGGATGCGCCATTTTGTCTGTGCAGATCGGCGTCGTGGCGCGCGTTCGGGTTTGTGCTCGTCCTGCGGGGTCCCGGTAGCCGAGCGGAGCCGTGGATTTCAGTAGTCACCGCACCGAAGTGCTGCCGTACACCTTTATTTGGCTTTGCGCGGTGCAGATTAACGCACAATTTCCAAAGAATTTACTCTCAGACTGCGAGAGATTATAAGGATATTCTCGTTTTACGACAGCAGTTCACAAGTTGCATAGGAGTAATTCAATATAGCATGAATTTCTTATATTTAAATACAAATAGTCAATACATGGGCCAAGCCATCATGGTGTTGCTCCGCTTGTACTGAAAAGATGCAAACCGATGCCTGTGCTGCTGAGGCAGGTTTTGGACCAGCGCAGCACCGGGGGTTGGATTCCGCTGTGGAAAGTGCAGTAAGTGTTCTGAGAGTAGAAAAACACGGAACGCTGCTTCAATCCAGCAGGGCAAATAGGTGGTGCTCAGGCAGTTAAATCTGCATACCTCAATTAATTATTTGAGACTGAAGCAAAATTAAAACAGAAATGAGGTGAATAAGTTAAATAAACAGTTAAGGAGCAGAGTCTGTGGACAGCACATGTACTCACAAGTGTGAGTGAGAAATGGGGTTTCTGCAGGATGAGCCAACTTCCACCTTGTCTGGAATAAGTGTGTTTCTTCCTAGCCAGGAACGTCTGTTCCCCCCCAGCCTGGGTCTCCTTGTGGTGACAGCTGAGCATGGACAAGTGGAGAGCACAAAGCTTGTGCCAGGGACAGGCAGGGAGCACACACTTGGCTCTGTGCTCAGCTGCACAGTGCAGCCCTGTGACTGCACGTGATTTAATCATCATTGAATTATTTTAATCTCTGAAACACAATGGCCTTTCTATATCCGATTTCTGTCAACTATAGCCTGACTATTTTAAGAGGAAAAAAATTGGTCTAGTGGAATTAGTGGATTCCTAGATTAATACCTGACAAAACTCCTGAGATTTACCAAAGCCAGTAAGAATGTTACATTGTGAAAATACCCCAGCCTATGTCAGGGTCCTAGGCCAAAGGACAAAGCTGCATTAAGTAGCATAATTTCTTTGGCAACTTTTATAGAATGTCTTTACATGCGAGGGGGAGATGACAGAGTAAAGATGCTTATGTGACAGGAGGAAGCTGTGCCATGAAATTCAGACTTGCTTCCATGGAAAATAACAAAATTCTTGCAGTGTTCAATGGAAGCTCTATCAAACAAGGGTTTAGGTCTGCTTCACAAAATACAGTACCAGGACTAAAGCATAGTTTTCAGCTTGTTTCCTGCTAGGTGGAATAAAACCAGCTTTTTGAACTTGCTCTTACTTTGGGTTATCTGTTGCTACAGGCAATCCATTCACAGTTAGATCCATTCATTTGCCATGCTGCTTAGAGAGGGCTGAACCTTCTCCATGCTTTTTATAATTTAATGTTAAATGACTTGATTAAAGCATGTCAACAAAACCAGCCATTTCTGTCTTCTCCCATAAAAAAGGATCTAGGAATTGTGTAGGGTATCAGTGTTCCTTGTCTTTTTGCATCGCATCGGTATTTTTCCTAAAATGCAGTTTTCTTACTGAAGGAATGGCTTATAATTTACAACAACTTGTTGAATATATTTTAAAAAATACATACAGAGAGAAATGCAACATATTTGACTTAGAATCCTTTGTTCTGCAAAGGTTAGCTTTTCTTAAATAGACATAGTCCATCAGGCCAAGCACTCACAGACTGGTATTTGTTTTGGTTGTGCTGCATATTTGCTCATTCAAACATTCTTTTCTTTCTGTTTTTCATTTCACATTAACAACAGCAAAAGGCCCTGAAGAGTTCTAATTTCTTTCTATGGCTAATGATTTCAAGATTATTTTCTGTGCCATGTACCAGGCTATGCCAATATATATTGCCACCATTTAGTGATGACTTTATTACTCTAACTCATTAGTTTGCAATGCTGATCACAATTGATCCTGAATATATTAAATACTTTCATAAAAAACAGTGATTTCTACCAGATAACTTTATGTTCAAGTTAATTTACAGTGGATAAACAAGTTACTAGACATATCACTAAGAAGACCAGGAAGAGTCCATAAAAGCAAAATCAGTAATCAAATATGAAGCCACTTCATACTCCTAATTTAAACTAATTATTCTTTTTCAGTGACACAATTACATGCTTTCTTATCACAAGTTGACAATACTCTGTGAAGTCTGAAACGAAATAAATTATTCTTTGCTTGTTTTCTACCTGGGCAAAGGTCAATAATACCTCAGGGCAAACACAGTCTATAGCCAATTTCCTAAAGTAATTCATATTGAAAGGAAAAGTCTTTCTAATAGCAAAAAAGGCGCAAATAGCACATTAAAGAAGGAATTTGTGATGCATTGTATATGCATAGAAATCCTACACGTGTATGCATACAGTAGCATTGCCTCTGAAGCTTTCTTTTCACCATCAGTTTAACTCATGGTTACCTTGGTGTGTGCAGTGATCACTATGTGAGTTTGTCCCTTGGATGAAGAAGACTGCAGATGCTAAGGCTTTCCAAGCAGTTGCCTGAGCTTCTGCTTCCTTAGTCCTAAATGTTGAGTAATTGACTTCTGTTCGTCTGCCCTCAGCCCATAGGAACCAGAGGTGGAAGTGCCCCCCAGAAGTGGGTTTCATAGTTGATGTCTTCAGTCACACGTTAATTCATGTAAACAGTTAACAAAAGCAATTGGAGAATTTTTTCACTCTACACTTGGAAGTATCATGGTTTTGAACCTGTTTCCTTTGCTGTCTGGTTCCTGTGGATCGATTTGAATAATGTGCATGTGTTCGGTGGGTTTCAGAAAGAACGGTTCCTGCTCTTCTGCCGCCGTGTCCAGCAGCCGGGCAGTGCTGGCTGTGCTTTAGTTGGCCGTAGCATGGATGGGTCCGAGTAGGAGCGATTCGTTCACAGCACAAGATCTTGCAGGGCAGATCCCTGTGTTTGAAGAGCAGGCACCGAGCTACAGAGCCACTGCTGCCTTTAAACTGCAGTGATGCCACCAAACACTGTCCTGTTCAGAGTGAAGTAACCATCCCAAACTCTGAACCGCTCCCTGGGCTGGGGGAAGGAGCCAGCACTGTGAGGAGAAACGCAGGAGCTGTTACAAAGAGCAGTTCAAAGGTGTGCTCAGCTGCTTGAATGCACAAAGAATCTTTTCTAGGAATATCTGAATATTGCCAATAAAACAGCACTTACTTGCTTTAGACTGGGATTGCTTCATGTATCTATTAAAAGTAAACAAAATAATCCTCCAAAAGACACATAATTCATTTTTTATGAGACTAATCATGGAACATTTCAAATGAGAAGGAAAATCTTGCTGAAACTTAAGAGAAAACAGGAACTAAGGAGATTAAAGACTAGTTTGCAAACGCCATACTTACACTTGTTGCCATGTGAACAATCTTTTGATATTTTGTAGTACATTATAGAAAAAAGGAAATTGATACAAGGTAAAAGATTTTGTTCAACTATTGACATTTTTGCTAGACAAATTCAAATGTGGGAAAGAAATTATAAAATAATTTTAAAATTAACATAAAATTTGATGCCTTTGGTATATCTAGTAGAAAGGTGCATGTTGAAGCATTATATTTAACAATTTAAATGTGAGGTGTTACAACTGTTCTTATTTCTGGTGAGTAGCATGATACACTTTATCCAAAGCTGAATTTCAGGAAGGTGGATATACATGTGTTAGCAGAGGAGCCATTTACAGCACAGAGATTACTGGTAAGTATAACAGTGTGAAAGGTATTGGACAACAGATGTATAAAAACTATTATTCAGAGTTGTTTCCATTATCATAGTCCCCGGATTCATATTCTTCATCATCTTCTTCATCAGAATTGTCATAATAGTCCTCATATTCAATGCTGTAGCTTGCACTTCTACTGCCAGCAGTAAATGCAAATGGAACAGATGGGTCTGCAAAGCATAATTGAATCCAGATTAAAATAGTTGAAGATAGGAACGAAGTTGAAAGTACAGGTTTGGATTCATATAGCAAGTTCAGTGTTTCTGAATCCTTGTTATCTATGAAAAGGAGAGGGGTTTTATCTGATGACTTGACCTCATACCACTGAAGCTTGTGATACATGAGCAAATTTCTGTATAGAATCGTGGAATCGCAGAATAATTTGGGTTGGAAGGGACACTGAAGCTCATCTCATTCACCCCCTGCCATGGGCAGGGACACCTCCCACTAGCCCAGGTTGCTCCAAGCCCTGTCCAACCTGGCCTTGGACACTTCCAGGGGTGGGGCAGCCACAGCTTCTCTGGGCAACCTGTGCCAGGGCCTCACCACCCTCACAGCCAAAAATTTCTTCCTAAAATCTAATCTAAATCTCTCATATTTTAGCTTAAAACTGTTCTACCTTGTCCAACCACTGTCTGTCCTGCCTGTATAAAAAGTCCCTCTCCCTCCTCTTTATAAGCCCCCTTTAGGCACTGGAAGGGGCTCTGGGGTCTCCCCAGAGCTGTCTCTTCTCCAGGCTTAACACCACCATGTTGCTCAGCCTGTCCCCAGAGCACAGGTGCTCCAACGCTTGGAGCATTTCCATGGCATCCTCTGACCCACACTAACAGGTCCACATCTTTCCTGTGCTGAGGACATATTGAAAATGCATTTAATTCTCAATACTAGTAAACTATGAGGTCAGTCCTCTGCAGGTCCTCTGCACCTGCAAGTATTACCAGAGGCAGAAAAGCTTTGAAAGCCACTTGCAGAAACTAGATTAGTGACAAACTCCTCTAGATCAGGAGGCAAATATAAGACAACGTAT